ATTGTAGATTGTTTTTTTTGTTTTTTTATGTGGATATGGCTATACTTGAAAATATCTAATCGAACCATATGAATATATTACAATTTGTATAACTGAAAATGGGAGGCAGGAGGACAGCCTCCATAACATAGATACATTTCTAGAACTTATTCAGCTAAAAATGAATCCCGTTAAAAAATGAAAAATACTTTTTTGATTTCTAAGTTTCTACAATCTCCAAATAAAAATAAAAAAACGCTTTCACAGTCTGACTAATTAAGTGAAAATATCTATAAAACATGCTTTATAAAATATATTTATACTCCTATATATATTCCAACTTTTTCACAGAATATTTATAAGAAAATCATAATGATGTAGATATCGTTGACCGTGATATAATATGAAAAGGAGTTGGTCGGAGGGTGCGGTCAAATAAATAATGAATTTTAAAAATTAGTATTGTTAATTATTATACCGACGTTTCGACCCACTTTGTAGGTCTTCATCAGGTCTACAAAAGATATAAGATATAAAAGGTACATGAAGAAAATAAAATTAATTAATTATAAGTAGATATTAAATAAGAAACAGTTGTCTGAAAAGAAATAATAAGATGACATCAGAGATATAGTGAGTGACAATGTTGTTAAAATATCAATTTTATATATATATATATATATATATATATATATATATATATATATATATATATATATAAGTATGAATAAAAATAGAAAACAAAGGAGAATATAGCGTGTAAGTTAAATATTCTCCTTTGTTTTCTATTTTTATTCATACTTATTTTCTATTTTTGTTTGTACCTAATATCTACTTATAATTTATTTATTTTATTTTCACCTTTTACCTTTTATATTTCGTACCTTTTGTAGCCCTGATGAAGACCTAAAAAGTGGTTTGAAACGTCGGAGTAATAATTAAAAATACTAATTTTTACAATTTAGTATTTATTTGACAGCACCCCCCGACCGACTCCTTTTCATATAACAAAATCACATGGAAATGTAGGTGCCCACACGAGAGGTGGATATTTATTACTAATTGTAAAATAAAAATTTAAATAACAGGAATATTTAGGCCGTGATAAAATAGTTATGTAGCTCTAGGCCTTAGCCTAGCAAGCTAGTCGTATTTTCTTATTTTTCAAATCGATTTTAGTATACATATTTCATTTATTCGTGTAGCTTATTTGTTATCAATTTTATTTTTTTTTACATCAAATTATGGAGAGGGGGAGAGGAAGGGGGGCGAAAATTTTTATTGGGAGCCACTCCCCGAAGTCTGTGCCTATGTTTTTACATATTGAAAATTCACCCTCATTAATAATCAAGATGGTCCGGGCTACGACTTACTTAAAATAAATTAATTTTATTTTTAGAGATGAGTATATAGTTGAATTTAGAAATTATAACGATGAAAAATGGTCAGGATGGGCAGTCAAAAATTTCTTTATTGAGTTTTCCGACGTTCCGACCCAAATATGCGGTTCATCATCAAGGCTAAAAATTAAAAATATAAAATAACATCAGATAAACGATAAATATAAAAGTATATAAGAGAAGGAAAAGATGAAACGTACAAATGAGATAACGGTTATATAAACAGAACAACAATAAAAGCATTGCAATTCGCTATGAAATATTTTTGTACAATAAATAAATGAAAAAGACAAGTATATCAAAAGTAGAAATAAATAAACTAAATAAAAAATTATTATTATTTTTTTTAATTTCACAATTAACTTTTATATAGAACGTCATATACTCCGACCAATTTATCATAAATTTCAACAACAAACCGACAAACAAGTTTCTGGAAATACCAAAAACTTTCGAAACAATTTCGTCAGAGCGCCCACAGCTAAAATATAGCCCCAGTCATAATAGGGCCTAAGGTAATAACGTATTACTAATAATATATGAATAATATTATATAATGTGAAATATCAAATAAATGCTGAATATAAATAGAAAGATAAGCTTATTAGTTTCTCTGAAAATTGTGCTTCATCAGCTAAGATACATCAAACTGTAATATCATCAGAGAAATTCGAGTACCAGACGAAATCGAGATAATGCTGACACACTACATATTTTTTTTTTCTCGAAAACCCCTTATTCAGAGATCATAATAAACAAACCATCAAATTTATACCAATCATTCCTTATCATCCGACGGATTCATTAAAAAAACTTACTTTTAAAAATAACTGATAATGGGAAGGAAATATATATTTTACATTATACTCTCAAAATTGTTTATTACAAAGTTAACGAATAGCACCCACTAAAGAGTTTCGAAGAACTTTAATATACATGGTGTTTCAGGGTTAAGTGGCCAAACTGAAAATATGAACTAAGGACCTCAAAACAAGAAAATATTTCCTCTGAAGGTACATCACATCCGCAACCGCTTTGTTAAGGAGATATTCACACCTAAAGATTTTCGTTGTTATGAATTATTTAAGTTATATGAAATAAATAAAATCTATATATCTTCACTTTGAACAACATTTAATATGAATGTTAATGTTTACATTTAATTTATAAATTAATTAGAACAATAAGTTTTATTTACTTAATATAACGTAAAAATAATTCATAATAACGAAAATCTTGGGGTATTAGTGTTGCCCAAATGCGAGACCGAGACGAGTCTTGGTCTTGCAAACTCAGTCTTTTTCCATTTTGGGGGAGGCTTCAGCCCGAAAGCCCTCCCCCCCCTCCCCGTAGATTCGCCCGTGCTGTTATTTATATTTTTATTTATACTTACAATTAGTAATAATTATTCACCTCTCGTGTGATTTTCTTATAAATATTATGTGAAACAGTTGGAATATATATAGGAGTATAAATATATATTAGAAGTAGTGTTGCCCAAATGCGAGACCGAGACGAGTCTTGGTCTTGCGCAAGAGTCTCGCAACACTCTTGCAGTTATATCATTGGTTTCTTGCTATAGAGATATTACTGTAATTTTTTAGATAGGAGAACCTAACGAAGCCCTAATGAAAAATTAGAGGAGTTAAATGCAAAAGTATATTGGTTATACCAATTATCAACATATAGTAACTAAGATTGTCAAGTATTATTAACTATTTTGCCTTAATTTTTATTTTAAAAATTCGATTTTTTTTACCAGTCTTGGTCTTGATCTTGCAACAGTTAGGCGGCCTTGGTCTTGGTCTTGCAAAGTGCAAAGACCGATTTTGGGCAATACTATTGGATATCTCCTAAACAAAGGGTTTGCGGGCATACCTTCAAAGGAATTTTTTTTCTTGTTTTGAGATCCTTAGTTCACATTTTCAGTTTGGCCACTTAAGCCTGAAACACCCTGTATAGTCGAAATTTGAATTTTACGTAATAAGGAATTATACTTTATCATGATGTCCGCGAAAAAATATTTAAATGACAATTTTTGCCGTCTAGATCTGTCGAATTTTGAAAACTCCTATTATTTAGTTACTTTTATTGAAATTGCAGTATTGAAGGAAGTTATTCGACTGTTCTACAATCATGGGCAATAAATAGTCAGGACGCAGTCAGTTTTTAAGATTTTTATTATTGCCTACGTTTCAACCCAAGACTTTGGTTCAGGCTATGTCACCAGTACTGAAGATGTACAAGTAGTGCTATTTATCACCTATGTAGGATGAATGCACCAGTTATAGACAGGGGATCCAGTGATGGACAGGCTGGACTTTAAATGTAAATATTAAGTTTTCTTTTTGATTAAAATGTTCCATTTTTTTTTTCTAAATTGAAAAACAATGCCCTCTATTGACAACTGTTTGAACAAAGTTCCCAAAATAAAATTTTAAAATGCCTATCATTGTTGTTTCTATAGTGTTCTTGAGATCACTGTTTCATAGCTTTCTATTAACAGTTTTGCTAAGAGAAAATTGAACATTTACGTTATCATACATTTATCATTATCTTTATAGTTAAATAAAAATTTAGACTTTTTCTGGTCTATTACTGGTACCGACCCCCTATCTAAAATTAGAACAATTGAATTTCGGGGTGTCCATCACTATTGTAAAAAGATGATTTCTTTAAATGGAGATCATACTGAATATTTTTTTCAATTTTAAAGTTTGAAATAGAAAAAGGATCCCTTAGAGATTATAAATGTCCAATGGAGAATTTTATAACTATAATAATTACCCCAGTATAAGCCAAAAAATACAAAAATTTCCTTAGTTATGCCAATGACTAGTGCGCTTACCCTAATTGTAGTAAGATTTTAATTGAAATCGTGATTCATCATTTCTTCGTGATATTCTCTTTTGTTTAAATACTTCATTCATCAAAATCAATCGTTCTTGAGAGCCGCAAAAGGGATCTTTACTACCGTGAGTTTTTTTGCAAAAAAGCATTAAGTGTCATTTAATAACCTAAAATAATTAAGAATGAAGAAAAGAATAGTTGGGGTGATCAGTCAGAAATAAGAAGGCAAAAATAAATGATAATATTTATTTTGGCATTTGCCGACGTTTCGACCTGAAGTTCAGGCCTTCATCAGGGCTGCTCGCAAAAAGTTTGTTGGAGAAGTGCCTGTGAAGTGATCACCCCAAAGATTCTTCTCTTCATTATTCACGACAGTCAACCATTTACCCACAATTATAAAATAATTAAAAACTTCGATCATTTTCTTTCTTAATAAAATCAAGAAATTGTTCGCTTAGAGTAAATATATGTAATAACTAAGAGGGTGTGTTTCATCTCCAGGTACTTGCGTTGTTTTTGTATAAATAAATATGGTCGAAATTCACGAAAACATACATCATAGTTAACCTACATCAAAAGTTACTACGAATAAACAGACAATATAGAGTAGATTAGTTTCAACAATTGTTTTCCTTTATACATTCCTAAGCAGTATCAAACTAATATAAGTTCGAGTATGTAAATTCTTTATACCTAACTTATCAACTTTGGCTAATAAAAGGACTTCTCCAAGCGATATTATCCGATTCCTCCGACGAACTTCGACCTCAACTAGAAGCGGATTGGACGCAGCGGCCTGTGATGGTATGTTCTGGTGGTAATGATGGTGCGAGGTAGGCAATCAACATAGCAGACCTCGATATATTGCTCCGCTGCCTGGCCAGCGGTGACAGTCTGATGGGAGTAGGAATTCACTATCCCCTCGTACCATCCTTCACTGCATCCATGACTTTTTTTTCCATGACAATGGTACAACATAGAGAATATATTATCCCTAAATACCTTCAAACTGCTTTAACCATTATTTTCAGTACACGAAAAAACATAAATTCTATTAGACATAGCCGAAGACTCCCCCCTCCAAAAAAAAGTCTCGGGAGTTAATAATATTGTAAAAATTATGAGTGATAATTAAAATAATCAACATAATTATTGTAAAACGGACAATAAAATAGTATATATTTAAAAATAAATTAATATCCACCTGAAACTACGTAAATAGTTTTATCTCATCGTAACCTACATTTAAATTTGATTTTAACCTAATGATGACAGAAAGGTTTGTGCAGAGCACATAGTGCGGAATACGCATATCACCAAGCAATAGACACAAGAAATATCAGTATATATATAAACCTTTTCAGAAAGATGGACGAAGCATGCAATAATAACATAGACTTTCTAACAATTCTATTCAACGAGATCGTTCGAATGGACATTATGTCAAGATTCGAATAAGGAACTAGTTGCTAGGCGAGTATGGTTAAGCAACTCAGTGTTTGGGTTGTCCATTAAAACGTATCTTGTGATTTTTTGAACTAACGGCTAGACCGATTTTTTATAGCCCATGGTACAGACCTCTATCATCAAATTATTAACATCCAACTGAAATTTCGTAAATAGCTTCATCTCATTGTAACCTACAACTATTCTATTTACGAAAATTCCTGGAATCGTGGCGTTTTCAATCTGGAGATCGGCAAACTTAGTCTATTTAATTATGTATTAAAGACTCGTAAATAAACATTTTTCCACTTCAATCGTAAAATAATTTGAGCACAAAATAAATTTAAAAAGTGGCTTTCAAAAATATTTAGCCGTTTGGCGCGACGTACATGTCCAAAATGTTAAAATAAGGAAGTTATATATTTTTGTAGACCACCCTTTTTTCTCGATTTTGTGATCAAATTATCTTATTATCCAATTGGTAAGCAAATGGGTATTTACGAGTTTTTAGTACCTAATTAAATAGACACAGTTTACCAATCCCCAGATTGAAAACGTCCCAATTCCAAGAGTTTTCATAAATAAAATAGTTGTAGGTTACGATGAGATGAAGCTTTTCGCGAAATTTCAAACGGATGTTAATAATTTGATAAAAAGAGGTTTAAAATGCGTTAATCAGACTGCTCCAACACTTACTAGACAAACGCTCTAAACTTCCAATTAATTACAAAAGACTTATCTACATAAGTGTAATAAGACCTATATGGACATACGGAGTTGCGCTTTGGGGCACCACCAAACCATCGAATTCCTATCGTATCCAATCGTTACAATCCAAAATCCTCAATGCTTCATACTTTGTCACAAATAAAACCATTCATAAAGACCTTAATATACCATATGTTGCTGATTTAGCCCGAGCCAGATCTATCATTTCATGATAAATTCCAGCTCCATCCAAATCCCCTTTTTTCACCCTTGCTTCTTCCTCGATCCCTGATAATCCTCCTAGGCGAATGAAAAGGAGATGGCCTTGTGATCTTCTTATTTATAATTATTTAGGAAGTGTTACCACTGTATCTCTTCAAGCTTGTACATGTCATTATTTAAAATTTGTGCATATTTACTAGTTGTATTTGTATAGAGTTGTAAATTTCATTAAATAAACAAAAAAAAATGCGTTAAAATCTGTCTAGAGGTATTTTAAAATGCGTTGACAATTGAATGTATTACCTAATTTTTATTTTTGTTTGAAGGTTTGAGGTAGTAAGATTAATTCTCAATCCTCCGATGCTTCAAATTTGCCGCGGTGAATGTGATAAAATCTTAACGTAAAAATGGAAGTGTGGACATGAATAAATCATAAAATCCTAGAAAATGTTGCTATAAATAATCATCTATGAATATAAACTAAAATTTTGATAACAGGAACATAAGCTGTACTAAGAAACTGCGTACCTAGCCATCTAGTCGCCATTTATTCATTCATATAGATTAATTGTTATTGATTTTATGATTATTCTTTGAAAATTTGAGAAGGGAGTGGCAAAACTACATTTCACCTTTTTTCAATTTGTATTGGAGGGTGAAGGCCCCCCTCGTCCTCACTCCTCTCCCACTCCCCCCTCTCACCTATGCATATAGAGAGGGCCCTGTATGTAGCGGAGTCCGTTTCATTCGAGACTTGGCTACTTATTTATTCAATTTGTAATCTCGGCCTGGTTGATTGCACTCGCTTTGTTAATTTACGGCATAAGCGAACGGCAGGGATACGGGCGAAGCATGCTCTCTCCAGTAATCATTAACGATATAGCGATTGTTGCCGTAGTACAAAGGATTTCATTCCGATAAGTGACACATTTAGTCCCCAGAGGACCCGATTTATCCTCCCGGTTGTTGTCCTTTGCTTATTAACTTATCAGGCTCTAAACTCTTAATTTAGGATAAGTTATCTCTCCCTAATTGGTTGTATGACATTGAACTCTAGGACTCAACGATAACACTAAGGCCGGTCAGGACTCAACGACATACCTGCATAATTCTCTTACGCAAGTAAATTTTTAACATTCATGTGTTATACATTTAAAAAAAGAATATTAGTTAAAAAAAAAAACACTATCGAAACAACTATGCCTAACCTTAAGGGGTATGTACTTGCACAGCTACATAAACACATTTTGAGGACAGATAAACAAAAATTAAAATAGAAAACAAATATTGTTTCACCATATTTATCTATTTCCACAATGATATATATTATATCTAATTATAGTGGATCCCACGATCAGATTTGAAACCAACGATCAGGATGAGGACACCAAGGTAAGGGCAGAGAGAAAAGAAATTTATGCGAAATGCATACGTTGCCTGATGGAAAAGAACAGAGATAAATTCGGCGAGATAGAATACTTACTTAGGCTATGGTTCGGAACTATCCTCTTAATACAAATAATTTCTTGCAGAGGCTCGGTGTTGGAAGAGAGTAGATGCAGACTATGATAGAAACAATTATTTTGGACTCGTTAGGAATCCCCCTTCTATATACTACTCCTAATTTCTAACTCGTGTTGTCCAAAATCGGTCTCGCTCTTGAACTTAGCAAGACCAAGACCAAGGCTGCCTAACTGTTGTTAACTGTTGGTAACTAGACCAGAACTGGCAAAAAAAAATCGATTTTTTAAATAAAAATTAAGACAAAATAGTTACTAATATTCGACAATCTTAGTTACTATATGTTAATAATTGGTGTAACCAATATACTTTTGCACTTAACTCCTCTAATTTTTCATTCGAGCTTAGTTAGGTTTCTCCTATTTAAAAAAATACAATAATATCTCTATAGTAATAAGCTAATAAGTAACTGCAAGACTGTTGCGAGACTATTGTGCAAGACCAAGACTAAGTTTACAAGACCAAGACTCGTCTCGGTCTCGCATTCAGGCAACACTAATAACCACATCTAGGCTTTCACTTATTTGATTCTATGAACCGTTCTTGGCTCATATGAACCGTTCATAGAATCAAATAAGTGAAGGCCTAGATTAATATATGTGTTGATTAGTGTTGCCTAAATGCGAGACCGAGACGAGTCTTGGTCTTGCAAACTCAGTCTTGGTATTCCAATGGTCCGACCAAACTCTCTCTTATATTTTTATACAGTATTATCTTTTGATTGATGAGTATGCTGCGTTATTTAGCAACTCAACACGGTTGAGCAGTAGGACAATGTTATTGTATATAGTTAATTATATAGTTAATTTCCATTCAGAATAATTATCGAACTGTACATAAATAAGATATGAGATATTTCCGAAAACAAATCCAATAAGTAAATTAAATATACATTATCCAATTAGGCATATTTATTAGGCGCATTAATAAATTTTCATTATTTGGTTAAAGTAAATTAAAATTTTTTTCAATTTTCATTTTTTTTTTTTCATGGATTCAGAAATATTACATTCTGCCACAATTAACGACATTTATAATAGTGTTCAAAGAGCACACTCACACTTTACAGTTTTCATTAAATTAAAATGCTTTTGTATGCAATATAAAGCATTGGCGTACTTACTATGGGGTCCCACAGCAGAGGGTTTTAAAAATTAATTGGATGATAATTTATTGGAAAAATACAACAAATGTTTCAAATGTTAAAATTAAAACATTTGTTGTATTTTTCCAATAATTTATCATTCAATTAATATTTAAAACTCTCTGCTGTGTGACCACATAGTAAGTACACCAATGATTTAGATTGCATACAAAAGCATTTTATCTAAAAAAAAACATGAAACACCGTTCCTGATTTCCATAACCTTGCAAACCGATTGTATATTAAAAACAATCGATTAGGAGTTGAAAAGACAGAAAATAATTGTGATAAAACAAAAAATGGTGAAGATAAAAGCTCTGCACTTTATGTTTACTATAAATACCTACTATTGTTGATTTGCAAAATAGTCGAAAACAATTATCAGCAGGCGTATTTCTGATGATTCAGCAGACATGTTGGACAGTTTCCTTTCTGCATAAACTGACCAGGAAATACTTGCTGGCCCGTGCGAATTATTTGTATTCTATATTTGGCATTGAAGAAATGGCAACATAATATGAAATTAAGTAAATGCAATAAATTATGAGAGAAAGCAATTAATTTTCATTAAAAATAATAGAACCAAACATGTGTACAAATTACAATTAGCTCCAAATTTGCTAAAAATGGTCCGATTTCGATAATTTTTTTTTTTATTTATAAGTAAGGTATAATTCAACATAAAATTTGGCCACATCAATTGCCATTCGAAAACATCCACATGACCTCGAAAAGTGGTTCAAAAATATAAAATTAAAATAAATGACAAGTCATGTCACGTTATAGGCCTGGAGCCAAAGCCCAAAAATCGACCAAATACCAGACGAAGGTTTGATTGTAAATAACGAAAGTGTATGTTATTCTGAGTAAAAAGAACCTTGTCTGCCGTTCCAGAGCCGCTGCTTTAAAAAATGGCAGCTGATTTGAAGAATATTAG